TCATCATCATCCCCATCCTCATGATCATCATCAGCATCATCAGCAGCAGCATCATCAGCATCAGCACCATCATCTCACCATCACCATCAGCATCATCATCGTCATCATCATCATCGTCATCATCATCATCAGCATCATCATCAGAATCATCACCACCGCCACCTTGATCATCACCATCATCATCGTCATCATCATCATCATCCCACCATCATCAGCATCCTCACCCTCATCCTCATCATCATCACCATCATCAACAGCAGCATCATCATGATCCCCAGCACGATCATCATCATCGTCATCATCATCACCATCATCATCAGCATCCTCATCATCAGCATTCCCATCACCATCAACATCATCATCATCATCATCATCATCATCATCACCATCATCACCATCACCATTATCAGCAGCAGCATCATCATCAGCAGCAGCATCACCATCATCCTAATCACCATCATTACCATCATCATCATCATCATCACCATCTGCCTCAGCATCATCATGACCATCATCAGCATCATTAGTATCGTCGTCGTCGCAATCATCATCCTCAACATCATCACTTCAACATCATCAACATCATCAGCAGCATCATCATCATCAGAACCGTCAACATCATCATCATCACCATCCTCATCCTCATCACCATCATCACCATCACCATCGTCAGCAGCAGCACCATCATCATCAGCATCAGCATAATCATCTCATCATCACCATCAGCATCATCATCATCCCCAGCACCATCATCATCATCATCATCATCATCATCGCCATAATCATCATCAGCATCAGCATCACCACCACCACCACCACCACCATCATCATCATCATCATCGTCATCATCACCATCATCTCACCGGCATCAGCATCCTCATCCTCATCCTCATCACCATCATCATCAACACCATCAGCAGCATCTTCATCAGCATCAGCACCATCATCTCGCCATCATCACCCGCATCATCATCATCATACAAAGCACCATCATCATAATCATAGTCATCATCATCATCAGCATCATCATCAGCATCCCCATCACCATCAACACCATCATCAGCATCATCATCACCATCACCACTATCATCAGCAGAATCATTATCAGCAGCACCATGATCACCATCAGCATCATCATCAACATCATTACCATCATCAACATCAGCATCATCATCGCCATCGTCATCACCATCATCATCACCATCAGCATCAGCATCGTCATCATCATGACCACCGTCATCATCAGCATCATCGTCATCATCATCATCCTCATCCTCATCCTCATCATCATCATTACCATCATCAGCAGCATCAAAATCATTAGGATCGTCATCATCATCATCATCTTCATCTTCATCCTCATCATCATCACCATCATCAGCAGCATCATTATCAGCAGCATCGTCTCACCATCATCAGCAGCAGCATCATCCCCAGCACCATCATAATCATCATCGCCATCATCATCATCAACATCATCGTCATCAGCATCATCAACGCCACCACCACCATCATCTTCAATATCGTCATCACCATCTCACCATCATCATCAACATCATCCTCATCCTCGTCCTCATCATCATCACCATCATCAGGAGCATCATCATCAGCATCAGCATCATCATCTCACCATCCTCATCAGCATCATCATCCCCAGCACATTCATCATCGTCATCATCAGGATCAGCATCTTCATCAATATTATCATCAGCATCCCCATCAGCTTCAACATCATCATCAGTATCATCACCATCGCCATCACCACCATCATCCGCATCATCACCAGCATCACCATCATCAGCAGCACCATCATCATCATCATCCTGATCAGCAGCATCATCAGAACCACCATCATCAGCAGCATCATCATCGCAATTATCATCACCATCACCATCATTACCATCAACATCAACATCACCATAACCATCACCATCATCACCATTATGATCATCATCATCACCATAATCACCATCAGCATCAGCATCATCATCATCATCATCATCATGATCATCATCA